TGCACAGAGAAATAACTAGTCTGCAACCAGAGGGAATAATCACCGTAACCACCTGCGTTGGCCTCCCTGACCTCTAAACAGGGCCGTGAGCGGAGCGACCCTGACCTCCCGGAGCCGGGCCGGAACTAGCAGCTCTGTGTACCCGAGGCCTGGGAACGGATGGATAACGGAGTCATATAAGGTCCCTTTTCCTCATTAGAGAAGTTATCTAAACAGCATGTGGGTAAACTTTTTAAATGCCCTTCAATTTCTTGGCCGGCGCCGTTTATGGGTTTAGGTCTATCAACCATCGTGCTTCCCAGCACCGTCCTCAGAACGGAGCAAGGACTCAGCGGCCTGGGGCCAGAGGAAAGGCTTAATGCTGTCACTTCTCCACAGTCAGAAAGAGAGAGAGAGAGAGAGGAGAGTGTGGACAGACCAGCCGAGGACGTCGCCCCCGGGGCCGCAGCGCAGCAGGCCGGCCGACCTCGCGGATTCCTCTCACCCTCGACCTGAGGCGCAGGGTCAGGCCAAGGCTGGCTGAGCGTGTCCTGCGCGGGAGGCAATGGGCTCAGTCACAGCAAGACGGGGACGCCTTGCGAGCCCCGGCACGACCTTAAGGGGGCAAGTCTGGAGCGGCCGCGGCAGAAACAGGGGGCCCTGCTGGAGGCTGGCCCCGAGTCCGTGCACACCTCCCGCTCGGCACCTACCACGCTCTCGTGGCCCCCGAGCGCCCTTACGTGTCCGAGCCCACCGCCACCTTGTACCCTGCGACCTTGGCACACCCCCTGCTCCCGCCTGCAGGAGGGTGTGGGCTCCATCAGGGGACGCGCTGGGGGCCCCGCAGAATGTGCGTCCGAGCACCCGCTAGGCTGCTCCGCGATCCTCGGAATTCGGGGTGACAATTTACGGAGCCGTTCCCTGCGGGGCGGGGATCTGGGTGCTTTGCAAACGCTCCCCCTTCAGGAACGGGGTCCCCGCACGTCTGTGTGTCTGTGAGCCGGAGCCCTTGACGGGCGCTGGGCTGGGCCTTCCCCACCGGGGCTCCTCCCGGGACCCTGCGGCTGGCACCCCAGCAGCAGGAGGGAAGGCAGCCTTGTGGGGCGGGAGCCGCACAGACCGCGGGGGTCGGACTTCCCTGCGGGATGTGGACGTAAGGACGAGAGAGGAGGGAGGAGAGGGGGCAGAGAGAGGAGGGGAGACAGAGAGACAGAGAGACAGAGTGAGACACAGAGACAGAGCGAGACAGAGAGAGACAGATAGTGAGAGACAGAGTGGGAGAGAGTGAGACAGTGAGACAGAAAGTGAGAGACAGAGACACAGAGACAGAGAGACACAGAGAGATAGAGACAGAGAGAGATAGTGACAGAGAGAGACCGAGATAGAGTGAGACAGAGACAGAGTGACAGAGAGACAGAGAGAGTGAGACACAGAGTGAGACACAGAGAGTAACAGTGAAACAGTAAGACAGTGAGAGATAGAGACAGAGAGAGACAGAGAGACACAGGAGACAGAGACTGAGACACAGAGTGAGACAGAGACAGAGACACAGAGAGACAGAGGAACAGAGACACAGAGAGACAGAGGAACAGAGACACAGAGTGAGAGTCAGAGAATGAGAAAGTGAGAGACAGAGTGAGTGACAGAGACAGAGTGAGAGATAGTGAGACAGAGAGAGAGAGAGAGAGAGAGTGAGAGTGAGAGACAGCGAGAGTGAGTGAGATACAGAGAGAGATACAGAGAGAGAAGAACGGAGAGACAGAGACAGAGACACAGAGTGAGACAGAGACAGAGACACACAGAGAGACACAGAGACACAGAGAGACACACAGAGACAGAGACACACAGAGACAGAGACACACAGAGACAGAGACACACAGAGACAGAGAGACAGAGAGAGACACAGAGTGAGAAAGTGAGTGAGTGACAAAGACACAGAGAGTGAGACAGAGTGAGAGATAGTGAGACAGAGAGAGTAAGAGACAGAGTGAGAGAGAGACAGCGAGAGTGAGAGAGACAGAGTGAGAAAGAGTGAGACAGTGAGAGAGTGAGAAAGTGAAAGACTGAGTGAGACATACAGTGAGAGACAAAGTGAGAGACAGAGAGAGAGACAGTGAGAAAGAGTGGGAGAGATAGAGACAGAGTGAGAGTGAGAGAGTGAGAAAGTGAGAGACAGAGTGACAGAGACACAGAGTGAGAGACAGTGAGAGATAGTGAGACAAAGAGAGTAAGAGACGGAGTGAGACAGAGTGAGACAGACACAGAGACACAGAGAGAGACACAGAGAGTGAGAGACAGAGAGACAGAGACAGAGTGAGAGACAGAGTGAGAGACAGAGTGAGAGACAGAGTGAGAGACAGAGTGAGAGACAGAGTGAGAGACAGAGTGAGAAAGTGAGTGTGTGACAGAGACACAGAGAGACAGAGTGAGAGATAATGAGACAGAGTGAGAGACAGCAAGAGTGAAAGACAGTGAGAGAGACAGAGTGAGAGACAGAGAGACAGTGAGACCAAGACACAGAGAGACCGAGACACAGAGAGTGAGAGACCGAGACACAGAAGAGACCGAGACACAGAGTGACAGAGTGAGAGACAGAGAGAGAGACAGAGAGAGAGACAGAGAGTGTGAGTGAGAGTGAGAGAGTGGGAGACGGAGTGGGAGACGGAGTGGGAGACGGAGTGACAGAGTGACAGAGACACAGAGACAGAGTGAGAGACAGAGAAAGTGAGAGACAGAATGAGTGACAGACACAGAGTGAGAGAGTGAGAGAGAGATAGAGACAGAGAGACAGAGTGAGAAAGTGAGACAGAGTGAGTGAGAGACAGAGAGTGAGACACAGAGAGTGAGACACAGAGAGTAACAGTGAAACAGTAAGACAGTGAGAGATAGAGACAGAGGCAGAGAGAGACAGAGAGACAGTGAGAGACAGAGACAATGAGACAGAGATAGTGAGAGACAGGTAGAGAGATAGATAGTGAGACAGAGAGACAGTGAGAGACAGAGAGATGGAGACAGAGAAACAGAGACGGTGAGAGATAGAGATAATGAGAGACAGAGACAGTGAGACAGAGACAGTGAGAGACAGGCAGAGACAGAGAGACAGATACAGAGACACAGAGAGATATACACAGAGATACAGAGATAGAGACAGTGAGAGACATACAGAGAGACAGAGACACAGAGGCTGACAGACACAGAGAAAAGGAAGGAGCAGGGAGGGGAAGGGGAAGGAAGAAAACACAAGCAGTAGGGTTTCGTCCACTGGGGAACACCCACGGTCATGTCCGGGGTGCATCCGCCTCTGTCATTATGGTCAAGAAGGAGGAGGAGGAGAGGTGATGAAGCATCAAGAGCATGGTGGGGGAGGGGAAGAGGAGACCCCCGAGACACGGGAAGGGAGACAGGAAGGGAGCCGTGGGCATGGACGTCGGTAAGAAGGCTGAGCAGCTCCAGCTCTCCGCGCGGGCTTGTGTGCTCACTGCCGTCCACGCTCGTCTGCCACCATGCTGCGTCCGCGGTGCTAGTCATGGAGGAAGCTAAGTCAGCTTCCACCCGAGGTCAGGGGGTGAGAGGAGCAATGCTTCCATGTGGAGCAGAGACTGAATTCAAACTGCTCCTTGCAGCTGAGGGCCAAGGGTCCAGGTGCACACGTGTGCATGTGTGTGCACAGGTGTGAGGGGTACGTTTGGACATGTGTGCATACATGCGGGTGTGTGTACAAGGGAGTGGGTGTGTGCGCATGTGGCTGTGTGTACCTGAGCGTGGGTGTGTGTGCATACGTGTGGGTGTGTACCTGGTGTGTATGTGTGGGTGTACCTGGTGTGATGTGTGTGCATGCGTGTGGGTATACATGGGTGTGTGTGTGCATGCATGTGGGTGTGCATGCACGTGGATGGCTGTGGATACGTGTGTGGGTGCAACGTGGCCAGGGTACGATCTGGAACTGCTTCCCGGCTCCCTTTCCCACCAGGCAGCAGCCTGCGTCTTGGGGGCCGCCCTACCCCCCGTCTGCCCGCCGACACCTTCCCTCACTCCTGTGCACTAGAAAACCAGCAGGGGCCCGGCCCCGGCGGGAAGGGGAGAGCCTCGGGGGCAGACACACACACCCTCCTCAGTGTGATGCCTGTGTCCGCACTCTGGGGAAAGAGGAGCGCACAGAAATTCACGGCCTTCACACCTTTTCCAACAGACTTAACTTGGGCGTGCAGGTGAAGAGAACAGCAACACCTGCCACGGAAACAGGGAGTCCAGGCGGTGAGCCCGCCTTGCTGGATCACCCGCAAAGGAGCCGTGTCGGTCCAGCCCCAGGACGGAGGTCCTGGCACTCTCCGCAGAGGCTGGCCTTGTACCTGGGTGGCCCGGGGGTGTTGGCTGTGCCCACAGGTTCTGGATGGTGCCTAGGAGGGGGCTGGGCTGCAGGGGACAGTAGCCGGTGGGAGCTCTGAGTCAGAGGCGTGCTCTTCAACGGGTCAGGTTCGTTCACATGGCTCTCGAGTATATGGGCTCAGGGACCTCGACAGGTTCCTCACCCCCACACACAGGTAGCCAGGAGGCCCAGGGCACCGCGGCCCCAGGGGGTTCCCGCTGCTCGCCAGGCCCCCTCCTTCCACACGCCTGCACCTGCAACGCGGCCACACCACTCGGGGACAGCTTGCAGACGGGGACTCGCCTTGGCCCACGGACAGTGAGCCCCAGCTGGGACGGGGACAGAGAGAACGGAGCCCTAAGTCAGCATGAAGACACACGGCGGGAGTTAGGAGAGCACCTTCCCTTCATCGTAAGATGGCCGTGACCGAGAGCCCGAGCCCTCCAGGCGGCAGCCACACCTGGAGGCACCAAGGTGTGACCCCGGGATGAGCAGAGCACCAGGAGACGAGAGGCAGGGCCGGGGGGCGGGGGGCAGAGGGGCGCGCGGAGGGGCCGCCCTCCACTGGCCGCGGAGACGAGCGAGTAAGCGAGCGAGTGAAGCGCGTGGGGAGCCCCGAGCCAGGCGGGAAGAGCACAGGAGGACGCTCCCTTACCTGGATGGGCCAGCGACCTGGAGAAGGCTCCGCGGACCTGCACACAAAGACCAGAGGGTCAGACACGGCGGGGTAGCCGCCGGCAGAAAACTCTAGTCCGACCCCAGACAGAGCGGCTCGGAGACGTTACCTGGAAATCCCAAAAGATCAGTAGCAGCCAGGGGTGCCCACCCCAGAGCAGCCCCCTCATGGCTGCGCGGGGATCAGGGTGCCACCCGAGCCCCGGTCCTGAGGGTCTGCTGCCCAGCACGCGCCCTAACTTTCACTTCCCCGGGAAAGGGACATTTTCACAGGTTCCAGAAAGAAAAACTCTGCTTCTCCTTAGTGTGGGGAATGCGGCCGTCCTGAGAGCTCACGGGCGTCTCTCCCTTGTGCTGAGAATGTTCGGGGCCCGGCGTCCTGGGAGGGCAGCCCCCAGCCAGCCGCCGCTCACAGAGCCCCACGGGGCCGTCCGCCGCCGTCGGGCTAGCCTGGCTCTCAGGAGTCTCAGTCTGTCTCCATCCAGGCTTGGCGATCGGACCCCTCGCTCCTTCCCTGAAGTGGGCAGAGCGAGAAGACCCTCGGGGGCGCCGGGTCCTGGCGCTCCTGCCCGGCCTGGCCCGTGTGTGCGCTGACTCAGCCCGACTCCCCGCCGGCCCCAGCTCTGGGTGGAGAGGCAATGATGTCAGGCTCTCTCCTCAAACTTTGTTCTGGTCGGCTTCTCTATTTATACCCCTCGCTGCCGCGTCCTTCCTGGGTCCTAACACCGGGCTGTTGAGAACAACTGGCCGACCAGACAGGCATGGGCATCCACGGAGATCAGATGCTTCCCACCAGCACCCTCCAGGGCGGAGCGAATATTCCTAACGAGAAATCGGACAACAAACCATGAGCTGTGTTGACAGCTGAGCCTTGTTTGTCCGAAGGAAGAAAGGTGATACACAGAGGGCAAAGGAAAATAAATCACACCCACGTGCCCCCAGAGAAGTGCTGAGCACGTTTCTCTTTAACCCTTTCAGAGGCAGGTGAAAGCTATGGGATTATTTACAGGGTCCTCCATGGAATCACACCAAACCCCATATCCGCCAGCATCCAGGATCCTGCTCTCCAGGGCATAAGAGAGTCAAACCCTGAGCCTCAGTTTACTCAAGACCAAATGTTTATCCAATCTACCCCAAATCCACGCTCACACGCACATGCTCACACACACGTGCTCGCACTCACACATTCACAGACACACACACGTGCTCAAGCTCACACTCTCATGCACATACACACGCTCAGAGACTCACTCATGCACGTGCTCACTCACATGCAAGTGCTTGCACTCACACGCATGTGCTCTCTCACACGTACGTGTTCATGCTCACAGGCTCACGCGCATGTGCTCACACACATGTTCACACTCACATGCACTGCTCACACTCACACGCTATCACAGCACTGTAGTTTGCTCTGCGGTCTGACCCACGCTCGCCTCGCTGAGCCGTCTCCAGCACCTGTGAGCTGCGTGCTCTCAGGCAACTTACTGACCCTCCCTGTGCTTGACCCCTTGTCTCAGGGATGGAGGCCGCAGTTCCTACCCCACCGGTTGTAAGGAGAAACGAGGTGACGCATACGAGGCCCCAAAGCCGTGCTTGGGGACTACGTAACACTCCATAATGCTCGGCAGGAGAAAATGTCACTCAATAAACGTCAGCCGCGATGCTGGTTCTAAAGTAGACAAGAACACCCATGAAATGCTAGCCAAGAGCACCGTCCCTTTCATCCTGACTTTAAATGGAATAAAGTCCTGAATCCAAGCACTTCCTAAAGAGGATACAAAAATGCCTCCCAGTCTCCATGGGAGAGGGAAAAACCCAAACAGGATGTCGAATGGGAGGTGTCTGTAACATGGGGGGCAGCGCCGTAGCCTCCGAGGGCCACCAGCCCCGAGCCTCCCCGCGTGGCTGCAGAAGGTTCCAGATCACCACTGGGAGCAGCGCCTCCCTCATGCACCAGCAAACCCTGAGCTCCAGCACTCGGGCATTTAAACAGTGACTTGACCCTGCTGCCTGGGCTGACCGCCCATGTCCTCGGGGTCAGCAGGCTGCTTCCACAGGGACGCGGCGGCGGGCGCTCCCCCCGGGGCCTTCACTGCACACCGCTCAACGGACCTCTCTCTGTGCTGACCTCTCCCGTTTCCATGGCTGAACAAAGCCAGGATGTGCCCCTTTTAATCTCGGAAGTGCCGTCAGATCACGGAGGCACCCAGCTCAATGGCAGTAATAAACACTGCAGATAAAGCAGATCGGGCAGCCCGCCCCCAGGTGTCTACACTCACCCGGGACTGGCGTCGGATTCGAACCCCAGACCATGCGCTTGTGCTAATTCACATCACCTGCCCCACATCTCCTCCCGATGTTGAGATGAGCCCACCTTCATCCAAAGCGGCGTTTCCGGGGCCGAGCAGACTTGGAGGTGGCGCGGGCGGGCTCAGGGCCGGGGCCGCAGCACGGTGGGCCCCGGTGAGGCTCCGGCCGTTCCCGGACAGCGTCCTGGCCCCGGGGCTCCCGCCCCGACGCCCTCCTGCTCGTTTCCTCCCCGTCAGTTCTCCCTGCCTGATGTCCTTTACGCCTTCAGCCCTCATTCCCCTGCTGTCGGTGTCTCCCCACTGCAACACAAGCCCCGTGGGAACAGGGATGTCCTTCCTCATCCTCAGCCCCGGGAACAGGGCTCAGCACTTGCCCCTGGTCTTGCCGAGCTGCCAGACACCCTGCTGCGCTGTGTAAGTCCAGGGTGTACGCGTGCTGGTTTGACTCGCATGTGAAATGACCATCTCTCTTCTCCTAGAGACACACACAAAGGGAAGGAAAAACAATGTTCCTTCCTCGTCCTGAGAACGCTTAGGGTCTGCTCTCCACAACGATCCCATAAAGCACACGGTAATGTCACCACACTGTGAGCGCATCCCCGGAGCTTATCTGTCTCACACGTGCGGACCGTGTGAGCACCTTCTCCACTCCTCCCCATCCCACCACCTCTGGTAGCCCCACACCTGATCCTTGTTCCAGGAGTTTGGGGCTTTGTTCTGTTCTGAGTCCCCCGTAAGGGAGATCATACGGCATTTGCCTCTTTCTGACTTATTCCCCACCGCATAATGCTTGTCGGCTGAGCCATGTTGCATTGCATCTACATCCCACGTCTCCTGGACCCATTTACCCACTGATGGACACAGGTTGGTTCTGCGTCTCGGCCACTTTACGTAACGCTGTAGTGAACATGGGGATGCAGGTGTCTTTTCAACGGAGTTCTTGTTTCCTTGGGATGTATTCCCAGAAATAGAATTGCTGGATCATATAGCCTAGAACTTAATAGGTATTCAATATTAATATTTTCTGAATGAGTGCCTATGTGTTTGACTTAAAAGAAAAATTTTGTCATACTTTGGTAGAAGTGTATCAGGTTTGTATTGAGGCAGACGTTAATTAAATGTTTTCAATGGGACCTTAACATCACTGATATGTGGAATCTAAATATACTCATAGAAACATTGTAGAATGGGTTTGGCGGGGGCCAAAGATGAGTAAGGTCTGAGGACCTACTATGCGACATGGAGACTATAGTTGATAATAGCATGTGGTGTAATTGAAATTTGCTACAAGAGTAGAACTTAAGTGTTCTCACCAAAAAATAAATAAATAAATAAGCAAATAAGCCAGGTGATGGAGAGGTTAATTAATTATTGTGAGAATCCCTTCGTCTATATATGTATCAAACATGTATGTATCCAATCACTTCATATACTTTAAATATAACCATCTTATTTGTTGATTATACCTTAATAAAACTGAAAAGAGAAGAAAAAGAAATGACCCTAGGTCCTCATCAGGCTCTATATTCAGTAAGTGTTTCCAGGGATGAAGCAAAGCATGATGTTGGCTGAAGGTGGAGACATAACTGGGTGGCTTACATAGGGACGGCAGGTGCCAAGCGGACACGTGTCCTCATGTCCGCAGGAGGACAGTCTGGGACCTCACAAAGCGCATGAGGAGCTGCCCAGGTGCTTAGGTTGGAAAGTCTGTGCAGACTGCTAGTTCTTTTTTTTTTATTTAAAGATTTTA